ATCAATCTACATGTGCCATATAATACTGCCACTGGAAAAGGAAACCACCGCAAGATGCTTTCAAGATGCATTTTTCAGCCTCCGACATGTCTTTGAGCATCCCTATGTAAAAATCACTTTTTGGTATCTCATGCAGCAATTGAGAAAGAGGTGACTCATCCAGCTAGAAATATTCCTACTCAAACGAGCACTTGCCATAAAAGAAACATTCCCTGAAGTGACCATCTGTCTTGGCTTCAGCACAGCCAACATCTTCCCCCGGCAAGGTTGACAGAGTTTGATCTACATTTTAACTGCGATGACAGTTTAATCTCTTAACAGGTCTTTTGTTGGGTAAAGGCATTATGCCGTAGAAGTGCAGAATAGATCTAATACAACCTCTATGTTTCCATCCTGGAGAGAAAATAATGTGTACTTTATAGCACCCAACAGTAAAAAAAAAAACCCATCTGTGCCCTTTGAACCAGCTGTCCATGCTGTGCTTAGATGATCATAGAAGGACACACACATAGCGGAGTTACGTAGCATTGAATTCATCACAGTGCTGAAGGACTGTTCAAGGCCTATGAACTATTTGAGACCTTCAAATGAGGTGCAAGTTTATTTCTCATTTTTTCACCCTGGCTAAACAAAAGTAAAGGTTTGAGACTACAGAGGGAGCCTGCCAGTGCTGGAATTAATGTTGTTAACGTCATTGAAAGTAACAACGTTAAAGTCATCATCACTTACCTGGTGTCAGAGGCTCCTCAGCTGAATTACTTCCATGCTGATATATTCTTAAATTACACCTGATCAGAAATGGCAGAGAAAAATTGAAGTTCAGCTGTCAGGGATTTAAGATGTAGGAGCAAAAATATGATGGATACAAGGGTTGTGGACAATTCAGTGCATCATAAATTGCGCTCTCACTCCTATAAACGGAGCTTGGAGTAGGTGGAATGTGCTTGTACTGGGTTACTTTGACAGGAGATGTGCCCCACTCTTACTTTTGGGTGTGGATTCGTTGTCTAATGATGCAAGCATGAGACTCATTTGAACTTTGAGCAAGAACTCACTGGAGAAGATGAGAATGTTACTCCTCTGTTACAGGCTGGAGCATCACATTTCCACCTCTGCATTTCCAGCAAGCGTGAGGGTCTTTAAACACCAGACAGAGAGGTAAGACTGATGAAAGGCATCCCCTCCTCTCTATAGTATAACAAGATGAAACTTCACCTGGTTAGATTTTCCTTTTAAATCTCTGAGACGGTAACTCCCTTGGTCTGGGTGCTCTACAGCTCTGTCTATGTTAGCAAGCAGTGCAGGCCAGTAGAGGAGGATGCGTAGAGCGAAACTGTCAGTGCTGTTACCCACACTGCAGGTATTTCAGAGGGTTTGCTAGTGTGGTCCCATGCACTGAATACCTGTTAGCTTTTGGACTACCTTATAAGGACGTCCTCTGACTTAGTTTCATCCAGAGGACATCCTTTCATGCACTTTGAGGCCACTCTACAACGTGAAACAAGGTACAGTAAGTGTGTTTGACCAGGAAATTCACTCGGGAGGGTACTGCTGACTCTGGCTGAAGTGCTGATGTCGATGCACCCTTTAACATCAGCACTTTCCATGGTGCAGCTGAGCAGCACCGTTAGGGGAGAGTGCAGTTTTATGAATGGCAGGATTTATTTATTTATTTATTTACAAGGATTTTGCTATCTAGGCACTGTTCATTATTTTGTTGAGGGTGAGCTCTACTGTAGGTTGAAAATGCATCTAAGATTTATTTTTATGCATCTAAGAGTGGGGTATCAAGATTTTAAACATTTGACTATGTGCTACCCTCAGATGCACAACATCTAAATTTTACCTTTGTCCTTGGTAACTCTTCCCCACCAGTCCAGTGCTCACAGCTTTGCACTTCTGTGTTATGACTACAGCTTTAAACAGACTTTCCTGACGAAAAGTAATACCTAACTTCTTTCTCACTTACCATGACGTAAATGTGAATTTACATTGATTTAAGTCGAGAACCAACTCTGACAAGACTTTTTTTGTCTCCAACCTAGAGACATGTTTCGCTACTCTTGACTAGTCACCTGGTGGAATGGAGAACACATAGAATCATAAAATCATAGGATCATTTAGGTTGGAAAAGACCTTTAAGATCATTGAGTCCAACCGTAAACCTAACACTACCAAGTCCACTACTAAACCATGTCCCTAAGCACCACATCTACAAGCCTTTTAAATACCTCCAGGGATGGGGACTCAACCACTTCCCTGGGCAGCTTGTTCCAGTGCTTGATAACCCATTCGGTGAAGAAATTTTTCCTAATGTCCCATCTAAACCTCCCCTGGCACAACTTGAGGCCATGTCATTTAAGAAATGGCAGTGGTGGACTCCATCTTTATCGGCACTCACTATGGAGACATAAAGCCACTTAGCCCCAAGCACAAACATGACACAGTAGTGTCCATCTCTCAGGGGCCAGTGCTAATGCGGGAGGGAACCTCTTGGTGCCTCCGCTGCTCTTGCAGTCCTGTACCTGCATGACTGAATACTGCTAGCCACCTCTACAAAGGGAAGAACTTCCAATTGGAAAGTGTCCAACAAGCCTGGCCATCGGTGAATGGGGTTTAATATATATTCCAGAGTTTAATATAGATTTTTCCAGAGTGGTTTTAGGTAGAAGCCCAGAGCTCTTCTGAACTTGTATGGATCCTCCTGGGAAGAAGAAAAGGACCATGGCTTAATTGCTGCCTGCATTTCTCTGTCCAAATTTCAACACTTGCTTTGCATATACCTGCCCTTTTCACACTGAACAATCTATGAATGTTTAATATTGGAATGTTTTAATTGCCAGTAAGTGTCCCATGGTAATTTACTTCATGCTCTACTGTGGTAAAACTGATGTGCTCAGTGGTTTCTCTGTGGTCTCTGCTACAACCTGGTTCTCCTGGAGATGCAGAGCTAGGCCAAATCTGCACAACTGCTTTTAAAAATTAATGTGCCTGTGCATCATCATGTGTTCTTAAATCTGTGGGCACTGCTAAAGACTGCACAAATATAATTCAGAAATAAATCTTTCCATTAATATACTGACTGCTGTTTGTCTATGCCTACTTTGATTCCTTTCCCTCTTTTCCCTCCTACCTTTTCTGTTCTTTTTCCCTGTAAGTAAGTTTACAAAAGTTTAAGACCATTATACCTCTAATCAATGTCTCGTGAGTGTAATTTCTTGACCATACACAAAGTTCTATGTGTTTCTGTGCCATCAGAATCAGCAGCTCACTACAACTGACATTGTCATCTGCTTATGAATACGCAGTCTTAGTGTCAGCGGCCTATCTACATTGAATTGACAAGGAAAGGGTGGGAGAAGAGAATTCCCACTGCTGCTTCATGGAAGCCGAGGCTTAGAAAACTTAGAAGGTGAGACATTTGAAAGCTAACGGATACAAATCCGCAAATCACATTAAATCTGGTGTTCAAACATGGATTGTCAACAGCTTGGGTACCTTAAGGGTCTAGGGGCCAGATTTTCAAAGACAGACATTTGTCGTTACTTTGCTAAGTGAGAGCAACTGGCTTTGGGTATTTAACTGAACACATATGCAGTGTCTAGCTTCTGACAATGAAGCTTTCTTTAAAACATTTAAAAAGCACTTCCCCGTAAACACCTTCTGAAACGAGCTGTTCAGTAAACTTTCCGAACTGTAACCCCCTTTGCTGGCAGTCATGGGTTCATTACTTCTGGCATTACAACGCAACTCTGTATGGACCCCAGCTGAACATAAAAATCCACCAACAAAATAGCAGTGAAACTGAAATTATTACTTTCTTGGTGAGACTATATTAAAAATGCACCTTAATATACAAAACATGGTGAATTTCAAAATGAAAAATGAGCACAGATTTTTACACAAGTATACAACATCACAGAAAATCCAGAAGGGATTTTTTTCCACCAAGTCTCTGCTTTTTGCTTTTGAAAGCTCAAGAGTTTAGACAATGAGATGAAAATCTTCCTTGAAGTTATTGGTACAAGCATCTACTGTTCACGCATTCGCTGTACAATATTCAATCATCAGGGCTGCCTGTACATAAAGAGAGAGCAATCTGCAATATTTTGGTTCCATAAATACTTGTAACCAAAATAAAAACATGGGACACTCTCTTTACTCATATGACTAGAACTACCAAGCAATCCTCATTTTTACAAGCTGTTTGTAGTGCTCTTGTATTTATTTTGCACCCATTCTCTGAATTTCTGCTAATGATTTTTGATCTGAGCCGTGCTGAGAAGCAATTCCTGAAAAATTCTGATATTCACGATTCTTCCTATTTTGCCTCAGTGTTCAGCCTTTGGTCTCTGGCTGGCTGAACACACCAAGTCAGACACAGTGTTGTAGTCACGTTTTCATACTGATTAGCACTTACGCTCCCCTGCACTCCCTTAGAGGTGAACCCCGAATGGACATGAACAGGCATTGCCAAGCTTTGCAGAAATTCAGAGTAACATTAACCGACTCTAACGCCTTCTTGACTTTGCTGGGTTAGTACTGTGAAGTTTTAAAGTGTTACATACAGAGAAATCCTCACAGGCTCTTTAATAGCTTGCTCTTTGTCGTTTCCATCAAATACCTTTCTGGGAAGGGAATCAGCAAACACAAGCGGTGACACAGTTTCTGCTTTTTGTGACAAACACGTCAAAACCAGCTTCGGCACCCTGTGTTCAGCAGTCCTAAGGTAAGGGATCCTCGAGACAGGTCGCGCAGAAGCGACTTTTTGGAGGTACCTTTGCTATCGTGTGGCTTCATCACGGTGTACGGGCTCCCAGATGGCTTCATCGTGGCTTCCATTTCCATGCTGAACATGGGGCCAGTGACCCGGAATGCAGGCTGGGTGATCCTCCACAGGCATCCTGCCAAAGCGTTTTGCAGGAAAGGAACCTGACACACGGCTATCATTTAAGGCCAATTTATCTTGAGAATCAATGGGCCTTTAAAAATTCACCAGCTCACATATCCTTTTCAGCGATGGCGGTTAACTGTTTTGTGCTCTGATTTTGTGGGCTTTTCAGGGAACCTTGCTTTTCAGCGTATGATGACACATCCATCGGTAAGAGGAAACTCACAGCCTTTACTTTACCCCTGGAGAAAAATGAGAAAGCGTTATGAGGATTACAAATGTATAAAACGTGCAAAGAAAGTTAAAAAAAACCAAAACAAACAAAACCAAACACCAAGCCAGCAAGGAAAAGGTAAATGCTGTCAGCACTTGCAGGCTGCATGGAGGCAGGATTTCATGCCCCACTGGGATTGGGATGGGGTTCACACAGTCTTTCCAGGGGACCAGGCATAGTGTTGTCTGCCTGTCTGTCTGCTGGAAGCATCTGTCTTTTTCCCTCGAAGCTCACATTTCTCCATCAGCTCCCAATGTGTATGTACAAAGCTACGTGTGACAGAACCCTTAGGGTGCACGTGCACCCTCACGGGCCCAGGGGTCCTTCAGTGGCTTCATGTGTAAATGCACCGGCACCCAGCTCCTGCAAGGGGCTGTGAGAACAGTGGTTTCCAAGCAGCAAGCGTGCGCATGGTAAATCATGCCGGCTGTGAAAGCAGAGGGAGGAACATGCTCCTTTATGTGCCCCAAAACTGGTGTCTTTGGTTTTGCAGAGCTCTGGTTTTCATTCTGACTGTCCCCTGCGATTGCTGTCAGCTCCCTCAGGCCCTTGAGGAGCACAAAAATGGAAAATCACAAAACTATGAAAGTATTCATTGATGGTTACTGGGGGGTGTCCTGCAGGGCAGAGGATGGCCGCAATTTCCTTGCCCCTTCTCGCCTACCCATTGGTCCCACTGGAAGGTGAAACCATCCAGCCTGAACACCCCAGTGGTGACATTTGTACCAAACAGGCCTTGTACCTTTTGTAATTTCGCTGTGATAGCCCTGAAAACAATTCTCAGCCCCTCTTATCCTGCCTAATGTATTCAAATATTTAGTCTTTTTTTTTATTTACCAAAAAAAAACCCGGGAATCACGTGGTACAAATAATGCTTTAGCATATACGAATGAAAATGTTGTACACATGAAAATTAGCGATGCTTTGTTAGCCATGCTGTTATTTTATTACTTGGATCCAACTGCACTCTAGGTAAATCCAAGGTGATTCTTCTACAGAGTTAATTTTAAACCAAAACATTCAGCATCATATATTGAATTATAGCTTTGGAGCAAAATGTAAGAAAACTACAATTACAAAGAATAGAAAAACCTGTCATGACCCAACATGCTGGGAAGCAAAAATGCCATCACCATAAGAAAGTAAGCTTAATTAGCTTGCTGAACTCCTTGCCACAAATAATCCTACTAGTGTTAGACCTTTGTGTATATAAAGGAAACATCCACCAATATGACCAGAAAATACATTAATATTTCTTTTTCATGTAAGAAACACAGATGTCCATGCTGCAGGATATCACCCAGCCCATAGGGGGGGTTAGGTAAAATGCTTTTTCCATAGCCATTTCTGCTCCAAGCAGCCAACACTGAGGAGACATGAGACACAGTACCACGCTCGCTGCTCAGAGCTGACAAGGCAGCTCCAAAGGTAACGATAAAATAATCAGCACTGTTCCTTTGGCCACTGGTGCTTTTAAACCTGTGTGTCCCAGGGCATTAGTTGTAACAGATCTCCTTTTGCAATTTCAATTGCTTTGAAAGCTCTCTGCCTCTATGAGAAGGCAGCAGCATTTGCCGTTGCCGTTCCTGCGCCTGCACGCTGACCCTGGGTTTCCTAACACGGACGCTTCCCACGCAAGCTGCTTCAGGGCAAACCTCTTGGAAGCGTTTATGTGCACTGGGAGTCTTAAGTTTCCCTGAACCCAGTGGAGCATATGCTGAAACCCAGAGTTCCAGGGTCAGGGTGATTTTGAAAATGATACGAGTTCCCTGCCAGGGACTAAACTTAGGCGTTTAAATGCTGTAAAACACCTGACCCTCAAATGTCCTTACAAGAAAAACTAGGTGCCTATGAAAACTTGATCTCGCTGTCCCCTCTGGCCTCTCGGCGAGGGGCTGGGCTCCTTAACTGGGTTTGCACGGGGAGTGCAAGGGGCTGCGCGCTGGCCTGCTCCGAGGATGCGCTGCTGTGGGAGGGCGGTGCGGGAGGAAAGCCGACACGGCGCCACGCGGACGGGTACGTCACCGCAGGTGACACAACTGTGCCACTGCGGCCGCGCAGCCCCCGCTGGGGCCCTGCCCCGGGGCACCCACGGGCAGGCAGACCCGTGGACTTCTCCCTGCCCAAACGCACGCACCTTGAGGCTGCTTGGACTCTTTATTTCTTTTGAGCACGGCACAATCGGCACTAGAACCAGCAACCTAGACGGATTCCCAGGGTGTATATACCAGCAGCAGGAGGTGACTGGGGCTGCCGTATAACACAGCCTCATTATTGGTGCTTCTACCTTTGATGGTTGCCCTGTGTTGGAAAGCTGCTCATCAGTGAGCAGAGACACACAGAGCCTGTCCAGCAGCCATTTCACTTAATTTAGAAGCTATCCTGAGAATATTTTTCTTAAGGCTGAAAGCATTAACTTGTAATGCTTCAATTACAGGGGAAATATGATACAGTACCTCTAAACCCATGAGCCGTATCAATCATGCTTTCAAAAGCACAGTTCAGAGTGCCTTGATATCTCCATACTTTTTGTTCAAAGTTTAAAAATCCCTTTCAAGCTTAGCTTGTCAGAACAACATCAATCTGCAAAACTCTGCCTGGCTTTACCAGAGAGATCTCAACCCCCTTCCCTCTCCTCTTAGCCTCTCCTTTTGATGGCAAATTTAAACTGCTACACTGGCCATCTTCATCCACTGCGAGGAGGAACAGGACAACTTACCCAAAAGAGGTCTCCCAGCTGTGAGAGATTCAAACAAAGATTTTGCTGATAACAAAATAAACCCCCAAGCAATGTCCATGTAAGTTATTAGGTGAAACCTGCAACCAGCCCAGGCAGGCGATGCTGTGAAGGCAAACTGAACCTACCTGCACTTATAGATGTGCTCCTGAAACAGCTTCATTTTGCTGGAATGGCTGTAAGAGTAGTTGGCCGGCATTTCTCCAAGCGCTTTCTCCTCTCCACTGGCAAGCTGTGCCGCAGCAGGAGGGGCTGGTGGCCTGGCACTGCCCAGCGTGTCCAGCAGACCATTGCTTGGAGGCTTCTTGCCGTCCTGGTGAGACCTCGCGCTGGAAGGAGTGGGCGCTGGTGCAGTGGTAGAGTAGCGCCGCACGGTCATGGTGGCATCTGAGTAGCAGAGAGCTAGGAACAATAATAATAATGATAACTCAGATATCATTGATGTGTTTTTAATCACTTCCTTTTGGGTCAAAAAGTTTTGTATGTGGGGAGGCAGAAAGGCAGAAGCAGCCAAACAGCCCCTTTGGATCCCACCCTTCCCCCTAGAAGGCAGATGGATAGGAAAAGGCACAAGGTTGGAAAGCACTTTGTGCATCTTTCACGCTCGCCAAAAGACCAGTCAGCTGTTCCCACACCCATAGCCACCAGCAGCCCCAGTTTAAGAGGCCCTTGGGTTAGTGACCTGCCCACTGGGCTCAGTGGGCTCGGCCGTAGGCGTTACTCAATTGCAGCACTCATCTATAGCTTCTCATAAATCCACTAGTGCTGTTCAGCCTCTCATCTTGTTCATCTTCATAGATTTGACTCTGCCAAAACCTGGTGGGGAGGGATTTCTCCACAGCCCGGATCTCTCCAGGAGGCAGGTTCAGGGCTGAGGCTACGTCAGCCACCTGCCTGGTGGAGCATGTGGGCTGCCAGGGCAGCTGCAGCCCATAACGCGCACCACACCGATGCCAAGAAGCTGCATTAGTGAAGCAGTTTCCCAGCGGACTGGACGTGACAGACACCAGACAAGGAGGCGACGGGCCTCAAGCACGTACAATACCTAACAGCCTGGTCTGGCCAATAACCACATCCAATTCTAAATATCCACTTCTCACCAAACAACATTTTGCTCTAATTCTTGCTTCATTAAATCCTCCAGAAGTCCCAACCAGACTTCTATAACTGAGGAATATTTCCATATTCCTGTATATTGGCCTCTCCCCCCCTCAGCCAAAACTAACTGCGTTATCTGCAAAAAGAAACTGCGCATCTGGCGTGACGTAGGCAATGTATTGCTATTTGTTACTATTTGTAGAATCTTTCTTGTCTTTCTCTACGGCAAGAGAGGTTACGGCATGGTTACAACTGTTGGTCCTTTTCTGTCTGGAACAGACAGGGGACAGGCATGGGCAAGACACTCCATGCTCATGAAAACTCAAAGCAGTAAGCCAAATTCTGCTTGAACAAAGACAAACTGAGCTCTTTGAGTTGAACTCTTTGCTTGAACAGCGGCAAAATACTCCACTAAGCTCAGCTTGGGGGATGCAGGTACACCCCCCCCCCCCAAAAAAAAAAAAGATTACAGAGTGAGAGACGTGGTTAAGGTGGGTTTGGGTGTGGGCACTGAAGGAGGCCGGAGCACTTCCATCAAGTTAACCAGACAGACAGCTAGGGGCTCTTCTCCCGTTCCCTGAGGACACGTAGCAGCCGAGCTGGGAGATGCTGCATGGGCAGCACGCATGGGTGCCAGGGGCAGCCCTGGCTCTCTGGTACCTGTCTGCTCCTTTGGTGCCGGAGCAGGACCGGCCATGATGCTTCTGTGCAGGGATGCTGGAGAGCCAGCTGGTCCTTCCCCATCATTGGCGAGGCTCCTCACGTCGCCATCCCCGCCTCCTCTTGCTGCCTCTCTCTCCAGTGGCACAGCTCTCTGCCCGCAGACCTGCAGCTCTCCCCTCAGGGCCCTGTTTTCCCTTTCCAGCTTGTTGATTTGGGAACGCATCTTGCGGATGACCTGGAGGAGGTGTGCGTTTCCCTCCATGGTGCCCCGCCACGCAGCAAGGCTCTGCACAACCTCACCAAAGCGCCTGCCCTGAGGAAAAGCTCCAAGCCGGCCGCAGGCAGACCCTGCCCTTAAAAGCCTCCGGACAAGAGGAGTCCCTCCCCGCACGCCGGGCTGGGGCCAGGTCCCTCCACCACGAGGGCTGGCCTGAGTTGTCAAGTTACTAAGAGCGGGCCCATGATTTATTCATTTGGGTTCTCATTTTTCAGAGCAGAGCTGGCCTCTCACACACTGCACAAATCACTGTCAACACAATATCGCTGTGTGGTTGGAAAGTCGCCCGCCCCCTCGCTTGCCTCGGGCTTTGGCTTTCTGCAAAAGGACCAAAGAGGACAGAGCCCATTTCCTTCGGTTTACCCGAAAAGGCCAGCGATTGCCTCCGTGGCACAGAGGGAGGGGTTGCCCTTTGCTGGGCAGCAATTCATCTCTCCCTTAGCACTGGATGAACTATTCATTTTCGCTCTGCACATCTGGAAAAGAATTAGCAATTTCTCAAAGGAAAATTAAATTTCCAAATGAAAGCTGATACGGTGCAAGACCCCCACTATTAACAAAGTAGAGCCACAGCTCTGATGGACGAGCAGGTGAACTAAAGCTCCCCTGAAGGGCTGCAGCAGAGCCCGCTGCCCTTCCCAGCGCCCAGGGAGGCTTGCTGGAGTGGGGCACCTGCGCCAGCATCCCAGGAGCGTAAGGGGAGACCGACCGGGCATGAATCTTGCATTAGGAAGGGAAACACGATCCTCAGTGCTGCTCTTATCACCTAGTCTCCAAAGTGATCTTTCTGCTGGCAGTAGAATGCAAACACCCATAGAATATCCTTCCTCCCGCCCCCCACCCCCCCGCAACTTACTTCCAAATACAAAGCTGAGAATGCCAGAAAGCCAGCAGGAAAATAACCTAATGCACCTTTTACTTTGAGACCATCTGCTTCCCAGTAGCTCCACAGTGACTCAGGAATATCTGAGAAAAAAAGACCTCTGGGCTGCGTGCGCTTCACCGCTTTGCTGCCGGAGGCTGGGGGAAGAAAGGAAAGCTCATGTAAGGTGCTCCAAACAAGAGACAACTTGGTTTTATTTTTTCCAGAGGGTGTCAGGGGAGGGCTATCGTGAGGAAGGCATCAGGTCTACGAGGAGGCACTGCTGCCCAGCAGCTACTGGGAAATTGGGCAGAAACTGCTGGAATTGAGAGAAAAACAGGGATGCAGGTGAGGAGCTTTGCCCTTGGGCGTGTTCCTGCGTGGGTGCTGCTGCCTCCTTGGGAGCAGTATCCTCCAAAAGCAGTTCACAGGGACAAAGCGGTGCCTGGAGTTCATGCTGTGCTCGCTGCCCGCTCTCACCTGCAGCAACACGCGGTGCCTAGCCAGGGCAGGGGGATTTGCTGGAAGACCTGTAGGAATATGCAGCTGTGCTGGTTTTTCCAGTGACACAGGCACGACGCTGGGGACCAGGAGCTGCAGAAGTGATGGGCAGCCCTGCTGTCACCTCCCTGAACCTCTCCCGAGGCCTCCGCACGACCTGGGCTGCATGCAGAGAGGTGAAATGAATTTGAGTTTTCAGGCTGTAAACAAAGTCCGTGGCATCCATGACCTCTCATAAAATCACAGCTCAAGGGCAAGAGCCCGTCGGGCCCTGCTGCGTCTCCCCTGGCCACCACGGGGCTGGCGGCAGCCTGGGCTTGGCGCGCCGGCATTAATCTTGGCAAAGCTCCTGGTGGGTAACAGCTCCAGCCCACCCAGACTGCGTCAAGAAGAAGCATCAGCTCATGCTGAGTTTTTTTCCTCCCCTCCAGGGAGGTGCACGTTGCTGAGGGCATAACAATATACAAATGGGAAGAAGCGGGCAAAGCTGGGCTCAGAAATGGGCTTGGACCCAGGCTTAAATAACAGTGCAGGTGCCCCCATGCTGGAGACAAAGCGTGGTGAGCAAAACTGCTGGAATCAAAACACAAATCCACTTCATTTTAGAGTCATCCAAGGACTTAAAACATAGCAGCAACCCTCCAGTGTTGGTTTCAAATTTATATTTCTGTATCTCCAGCAAGTGGATCATGTACCGGAGCAGTGGCAGCACTCGGCTGTAATTATAACACCGCTGCTGATCCTGCAGCTGGCAGGTTTGGAGGGGCAGGGGACACGTGCCAGCTCAGCAATTCGCTTACCCCGCTGCAACCGAAGACATCTGCTCCTCTGATCCCACGCCTGCCGCTCCACTGTAATCAGACCAGAGCAGGCACCGGCCCTTTGTGGTGCCGGAGACTTCGGAGGAAACGCCGTTTGTCTTGCAGCCTCACAGCGCTGCTCCTGCTGCCGCTCCCTCCCAGGGATCGATGGGCAGGGGAGAGACCAGTCAGGATTTGTGGATGATGAAAACCTGGCAAAGCTAAATTTGCTGGCTGTGCTGGTCACCGTGTTCCCTGCAAGCAGACAGGGCTCCATGCATGCAACCTCGTATTTGTAAATTTGGTGGCGTCCAAGATGCGTGCCTGCACTGCTGGACCTGCAGGGCCACGGGGCAGGGCTGGGCAGCTCCCGGGTGCTGCTGCGCCGCGGGTGGGAGAATCGCTCGGTGCCCTTGGCTGTGGCCCACTCGTAGGCTGCAGATTTTGGCTGGTGATGTGATCAGCGCACCTTCCCGTGCCTACGACAAACAACTACAGCTGTGTGGTTTCCGCTCTGAAATGCTTCAACTTGAAGTCATTTAAGAGAAAAGACAGAGCTGCTCACACCTGAGCTGTTCTGGCAAGTTGTGCTCCACAGGACGTTGAACGGTGTAAAGCTGTATTCACCTTCAGCCCTACACAAACCTTTTCACCAGGAAAAATATGCGACCCCAGAGGCAGCTGCTGGGCTGGAGCAGCCCCACAGCAATACGCGTATGCAAGTGCTGCAGCACGTGCTGTGCCCCAGGGGACTGTACGAGCGGCATCCTGAGCAACGCCCCAAGAGAAAACGGGAACAGAACGCAGAAGCCTCGAGGAGCAGCTTCACACAAAACCGGGAGGAGCTCAGCTCTTTATCCCTCCACTACATGATATTCTGCAGCTCCCTGCCTGGTGACATGAGATACTCACCCGTGTTCGGGGCTACTGCAGGGGCTCCCTGGGGAAGGGGCTTCGCTGTGAGCGGAGAAGGCACGTTGTGAAACCTGCCGTCAGCAGGAGACGGCACCTGCACAGCCACTGCCATTGCTGAACAGCTTTCCTAGCTGTCTCTCTTGCTAAATCTGCTTTCTTGCTCCCCTGAAGGTTTGGGAGAGAAAAAACTACAGAGGACTCATTCCTACTCCAGTAAAACTAGTATTTTTTTGTTTGTTTGTTTGTTTGTTTGCAAATCACAACATTTTGTCCTTGAAAATCCATCAGCAGTAAGCGTGTGGATATTTTCTAGCTGCTGCACCTCCACCCCCGCCTGCCACCAGGCACCACATCCCATTGCTGGGGACCAATTGCTGGGAAGGGCTGGAGGAGAAGCACGGCAGCCCGCCTGCCCCAAGTACGCGTATGCAAGTGCTGCAGCACGTGCTGTGCCCCAGGGGACTGTACGAGCGGCATCCTGAGCAACGCCCCAAGAGAAAACGGGAACAGAACGCAGAAGCCTCGAGGAGCAGCTTCACACAAAACCGGGAGGAGCTCAGCTCTTTATCCCTCCACTACATGATATTCTGCAGCTCCCTGCCTGGTGACATGAGATACTCACCCGTGTTCGGGGCTACTGCAGGGGCTCCCTGGGGAAGGGGCTTCGCTGTGAGCGGAGAAGGCACGTTGTGAAACCTGCCGTCAGCAGGAGACGGCACCTGCACAGCCACTGCCATTGCTGAACAGCTTTCCTAGCTGTCTCTCTTGCTAAATCTGCTTTCTTGCTCCCCTGAAGGTTTGGGAGAGAAAAAACTACAGAGGACTCATTCCTACTCCAGTAAAACTAGTATTTTTTTGTTTGTTTGTTTGTTTGTTTGCAAATCACAACATTTTGTCCTTGAAAATCCATCAGCAGTAAGCGTGTGGATATTTTCTAGCTGCTGCACCTCCACCCCCGCCTGCCACCAGGCACCACATCCCATTGCTGGGGACCAATTGCTGGGAAGGGCTGGAGGAGAAGCACGGCAGCCCGCCTGCCCCAAGGCCTAGCTCACGGGAAAAGCTGGGGGCAAGAGCCACTCGCAGCTCCACCACCCCTGCACCGCGCCTGAAGCCCAGGGCTCTGTCAGGGCAGGAGTCTCCAGGGAAGGTTTGCTATTAGCAGCCACAAGTGTCAGCAATGCTGGACTTATTCATCCTATAAAAAATGACCAAGCAAAAGCGAAACAGCAGCCCTAGTCAGGGTCAATGCCAAATGCTTCTTACTGCCACTGCACAAAAACATCACTGCGCCCCGAGTCCCTGCTTGATTTCGGACTTTGTGTTTCATGCCGCATTATGGTGCGAAAGAGTCTAATTCTCTTCTGAATCTGTCTGCACAACTTAAGGAGGTGAAAGAAGAATATTTCAGAGGATTTAAAAATGAATAAAAAGGAAATGGTTTTTAGCGCGTTGATTCTGTCTTGCTGACACGTCCTTTTGCTCATTTAGCTCCTGAACTCGGAAGGGACTGGATAGGTTTAATGGCAAAATTTTATCCCATATTGGCCTTCTCCTTATTTAATTCTCACTGACTGCCCCATTTTAATCAAGAGGCAAATTTATATTTTTCCCTGTTTTCGATTTTAATTTCTCCACTTTCACTATTCTTGACGTTCAGACATTTAGACCTTTAGACATCTAAATTATGCATAGTCTATTGATGCTTTGCTTAGCCAGCCCTATTGCTTGAGGCTCTGCAAGAGGTCAGAGATTGATGCTCTACTCAAATTCCAAGCACTTGCACAGCAGCTGGAATGTGGTGGGACACACGACACAGCCTGCAAGGCCCTTGCTCACCTGAGGCCGGTGTGCTGGCAGCCGCTGGACCACGGGAGCTGCTCTGCCAGGCCAGGTCGCATCTTCCT